GACTTAATGTCAGGGAAATTTTTATCTTTATCTGTGCTTTACAGATCCTGTTAATTTTTTGTGAACACCACAATCCTAACTCAGAGCAAAGAAGAGATAGTTTACTTAGGAGTAGATGATCCTCCCCTTACTTTTTGCCTACTCCCACTCCTTCTGCTACTGCAGATGTAAGCAAATATAGTATTTCAGATAATCTAGATATATGGGTTATTTAATTTAGATATGTGGTGCACACCCTCCAGAGTTGGACATGACTAGCCTTAATGTCAAGGGGAAACGTTTACCTTTACCTTTAAGCCACTTGTTTTAAGAAAATACCGGGGAAGGTCTGAACCCTGCTCCATTCCAGATCCAGATGTGGGATCCAGGTTCACTCTCATAGAATCATAGAATCAAAGAGTTGGAAGAGACCTCATGGGCCATCCAGTCCAACCCCCTGCCAAGAAGCAGGAATATTGCATTCAAATCACCCCTGACAGATGACCATCCAGCCTCTGTTTAAAAGCTTCCAAAGAAGGAGCCTCCACCACACTCCGGGGCAAGAGTTCCACTGCTGAACGGCTCTCACAGTCAGGAAGTTCTTCCTCATGTTCAGATGGAATCTCCTCTCTTGTAGTTTGAAGCCATTGTTCCGCGTCCTAGTCTCCAAGGAAGCAGAAAACAAGCTTGCTCCCTCCTCCCTGTGGCTTCCTCTCACATATTTATACATGGCTATCATATCTCCTCTCAGCCTTCTCTTCTTCAGGCTAAACATGCCCAGTTCCCTAAGCCGCTCCTCATAGGGCTTGTTCTCCAGACCCTTTCATTTTAGTCGCCCTCCTCTGGACACATTCCAGCTTGTCAATATCTCTCTTGAATTGTGGTGCCCAGAATTGGACACAATATTCCAGATGTGGTCTAACCAAAGGAGAATAGAGGGGTAGCATTACTTCCTTAGATCTAGACACTATGCTCCTCTTGATGCAGGCCAAAATCCCATTGGCTTTTTTTGCCGCCACATCACATTGTTGGCTCATGTTTAACTTGTTGGCCACGAGGACTCCAAGATCTTTTTCACACGTACTGCTCTCGAGCCAGGCGTCCCCCATTCTGTATCTTTGCATTTCATTTTTTCTGCCAAAGTGGAGTATCTTGCATTTGTCACTGTTGAACTTCATTTTGTTAGTTTTGGCCCATCTCTCTAATCTGTCACAGTCATTGCATGCTCCTTGGGCTCAGGCAGCCCAGGGAGGGGGAATAGCCACCCCTTCCTGTCCTCTGCATTCCTACTTTTCCACCCAGAGAAGGAAGAATGAAAGAGCACCTCTTGCATGGTAGCAGCCTCCTTTTTCTGAACCATATGATTGGCAAAGGAATAATCGAATCATAGAATTGGAAGAGACCTCATGGGCCATCCAACCCCCTGCCAAGAAGCAGGAAAATTGCATTCAAAGCACCTCCAACAAGAGCTATTGGGAAGAACCTCATGCCTATTGAATCTGACCTCATAGAGACCCAGTCTTCCGATAGTGTTAGTAGGAGGGTCTTCAGCAAGATTCCATTCTTAGGCCCTGTCCACACAGCTGTATAAAATCCACATTGAACTGGATTATATGGCAGTGTGGACTCAGATAATCCAGTTCAAAACAGATATTGTGGATTATCTGCCTTAATATTCTGGGTTATATAGCTGTTATATGGAAGGGGCCTTCGTCCCTGTATATGCCTGGGTCCACATCTGGCTGCTTCTTTCCAAATGCTTGCTTTTCCTCTGGATTTCATTTCTGGGGGGCGGAGAGCAAGGGAACAAGACTGAATCTTCCTTTAAAAAAGAAAACCTTCAGGGAAAAAAAGGAGAAACCCCCAAGAAACTGAGTTTTAGCTCTCTATAGCAATGCACCTACAGTTCCCCTAGCTTCCAGGTTTTGTTTGTTTGTTTTGTTTTGTTTTTGTGTGTGTGTCATGCCAGGAGCGACTTGAGAAACTGCAAGTCGCTTCTGGTGTGAGAGAATTGGCCGTCTGCAAGGACGTTACCCGAGGGACGCCCGGATGTTTTTGATGTTTTACCATCCTTGTAGGAGGCTTCTCTCATGTCCCCGCATGAGGAGCTGGAGATGATAGAGGGAACTCATCCATACCCTACCCGGATTCAAACCTGCAACTCTTCAACTTTGACTATAGCATAATGTAACTTCACTCTTCTTATGTCTCAATTAATAAGAATTCTATTTGTGAAATTATTTATTTATTTATTTATTTATTTTATAAGCTTAACAGAGGAATCTCTGAGATTTTCATGGTGATGTGTGCACTTGTGAGTTCTAAATCTTGTGGTTTTCTTTAAATATGAGAATCAGCATTATTAGATAGACATTAACATCAATAGTGTCTTCATCCCAAATCAAGCCAGCTCACTGCTACCCTCTCCTGTTGGAAATGTAGAATCAATGTATTGTCGAAGGCTTTCATGGCCGCAATCACTGAATTGTTGTAGGTCTTTCGGGCTGTATGGCCATGTTTTAGAAGCATTCTCTCCTGACATTTCACCTGCATCTGTGACAAGCATCCTCTGAGGCGGTGAGGTTTGTGGAAACTAGGGAAATTGGGTTTATATATCTATGGAAGCCACATCTAAAAATTGTGAGGCCATCAAATGCTAATCAAGGTAGCCAATTGAAACATTCACACCTAGCTCCAACAGACAAGAGTCCTTTCTCCCACCCTGGACCTTCCACAGATATATAAACCCAATTTTCCTAGTTTCCACAAACCTCATAACCTCTGAGGATGCTTGTCGCAGATGCAGGCAAAAAGCCAGGAGAGAATGCTTCTAAAACAGTGGTTCCCAACCTTCCGAATGCCACAACCCCTTAATACAGTTCCTCATGTTGTTATGACCCCCAACCACAACATTATTTTCATTGCTACTTCATAACTGTAATTTTGCTACTGTTCTGAATCATAATGTAAATATCTGATATGCAGGATGTATTCTCATTCACTGGAACACATTGGGCACAAATACCCGATATGCTTAAATTTCAATGCTTGTGGGGTTGGGGGCGGGAGTGATTGATTTTGCCATTTGAGAGTTGTAGTTGTTGGAATTTATAGTTCACCTACAACCAAAGAGCATTCTGAACTCCACCAATGATGGAATTGAACCAAACTTGGCACACAGAATTCCCATGACCAACAGCAAAAAAATGGAAGGCTTTGGTGGGCATTGACCTTGAATTTTGAAGTTGTAGTTCGCCTACATCCAGGGAGAACAGTGGACTCAAACAATAATAGATCAGGACCAAACTTGGCACGAATACTCAATATGCCCAAATGTGATCACTGGTAGATTTTGGGGAAAGTAGACCCTTCACATTTGGGAGTTGTAGTTGCTGGGATTTATAGTTCACCTACAATCAATGTACTACAGCGGAAGTCTTTCTTTAGAAGTCTTTAAAGAGGGAAAGGGATAATAATAATAATAATAATAATAATAATAATAATAATAATAATAATAGCACTTTATTTATATTCCGCCCTTCTCACCCCAAAGGGTGAGTATACATGGCAAACGTTCAATGCCATTTGTATAGACAGTACACAGACAGACAGAACAGAAAGAGGTGTGTTGTTTCGATGCCATGGACAGTTGGGCTCGAGTCCACAAGGGTTGACAAAGAGTCATCAGGACTTTCTCATTCCAGCATTTTCTGATCTTTTCTTTATGGCATTGTAAAACATCTTCCCTGCTTTTAGCGGACCCTAATTTCTCTAATTACAGCTAAAGCTTTTTTCGAACTGCTTAGGTAAACAGTGAGCAGGGCTGACGGTTGGCTGCTCACACCTATCCGGGGCTTCGAACTTGCAGCCTTTCTGTTGACAGATCTTATAGTTGCTGATGATTTACCAATTGTGCTAAACCTCCGGCACAGCTGGTAAATCATGCTTTTTTTGTTCTTATGAACATCAGGAAGTCGGATCTGGCCACGGTGGACCACGCCCTTGTTACATCCCGGATAGATTACTGCAACGCACTCTATGTGGGGTTGCCTTTGAAGACTGTTCGGAAACTTCAATTAGTCCAGCGGGAGGCAGCTAGATTGCTCACCGGAGCATCATACAGGGAGCATACCACCCCCCTGTTGTGTCAGCTCCACTGGCTGCCGATCCAGTTCCGAGCACAATTCAAAGTGCTGGTTTTCACCTACAAAACCCTATATGGTTCCGGCCCAGCGTATCTGTCCGAACGCATCTCCCTCTACGTCCCACCTTGGAGTTTGAGATCCTCTGGGGAGGCCCTGCCTCTGTCACAAGTGAGGTTGGCGGGGACGAGGAGCAGCGCCTTCTCAGTGGTGGCCCCTCACCTATGGAATTCACTCCCTGGGGAAATTAGATCAGTGGCATCCCTCCTTTCCTTCAGAAAGAAATTAAAAACATGGATGTGGGACCAGGCGTTTGGGCAATCTGGCAGATAAATAAAGGACTGCGACGACAGATAGGAATAGACAATGTGGAACCAAGTATGGACTCTGAGTTGGCGAACGCTGTGCTTGAGATTGGCTATTGACTGTGATATATATTGTTGTTTTAATTGTTTTAATTGTTTAACCGTTTAACTGCTGTTTTTATACGTTTATTGTATTTGTGTAGGCATCGAAATGTGCCATTTTGTAAGCCGCCCTGAGTTCCCCCTCGGGGGTTGAGAAGGGCGGGGTAGAAGTATACGAAATAAATAAATAAATAAAAGTAAACCCACTTCATGACAGGGATAACATGTTGGAGTATGAATTGCTAGAAAACCATGTAGGACTGAAATGTGGATCTTTTTGGAAAAAGTAAGATCCGCAGCTACAGAAAACTGTGACTTTTCAACCACTCTGACATATTTGCTCTATCTGGATGTGCCCAACAGTTTGCAGACTAATTCAAATAGCATTATTTAGCACTTAAACAGAAGAGCTCTAGGTAGCCCTTCAGGTTGCCTGCAGCACGATTGTAATGGTCCTTCATTCTCTCTCCAGCATCCTTATCCGACAGAGGACGAGAAGAGGCAAATAGCAGCACAGACCAACCTCACTCTCTTGCAAGTCAACAACTGGTGAGTGAAATCTTGATCTCCACCTTTTCAAACTGAATAGTACTCAAAGTAGAAAAAGCTGGTTTATCTGCAGAAGAGCAGCTGTTCAGATCACATTCTGACCCATATTATTGAATCACATTTCCATCTGTAAATGAACATTGGAATGGAATAAGCTTTGGAGAAATTTGCTTGTCTTGCATTAGCCTAATTGTCTACTTTGAAGTATGCCATTTAAACCAGGCATTCCTGACTATGTAGTTCAAAAGGCAGTTATCCTTTGACATTCAAGCTTTTGTGGCTGTGAAAAGAAATTCTCTAATCATGAAAATGTGGGTATGCAAAGATATGTTGGAATTTTATTTATTTATCGTGTCAGGAGCAACCAGACATTTGTATTACATTTTTAACAAAACAAACCAACAAACAGACAAAACACAAAGTTTGCAAACTTGGTAGTTGATTAAGTGTCCTTTGACCAGTATCTAGCCACTTGGAGTGCCTCTGGTGTTGCCGCAAGAAGGTCCTCCATTGTGCATGTGGCAGGGCTCAGGTTGCATTGCAGCAGGTGGTCAGTGGTTTGCTCTTCTCCACACTCACATGTCGTGGCCCCATTTCTTGAGGTTGGCTCTGCATCTCGTGGTGCCCGAGCGCAGTCTGTTCAGTGCCTTCCAAGTCGCCCAGTTTTCTGTGTGCCCAGGGGGGAGTCTCTCATTTGGTATCAGGCATTGGTTGAGGTTCTGGGTTTGAGCCTGCCACTTTTGGACTCTCGCTTGCTGAGGTGTTCCAGCGAGTGTCTCTGTAGATCTTAGAAAACTATTTCTTGATTTAAGTCGTTGGCATGCTGGCTAATACCCAAACAATGGATGAGCTGGAGATGTCACTGCCTTCGTCCTTTCACTATTAGTTGCTACTTCCTGGCAGATGTCAGGTGGTGCAATACCAGCTAGACAGTGTAGTTTCTCCAGTGGTGTAAGGCGCAGACACTCCATGATAATGCGGCATGTCTCATTAAGAGCCACATCCACTGTTTTAGTGTGGTGAGATGTGTTCCACACCGGGCATGCATACTCAGCAGCAGAGTAGCATAGCGCAAGGGCAGATGTCTGCGATGGAAAGCATCCTCACAACCACTGAGGATGCTTGCCATCGATGCAGGCAAAACGTCAGGAGAGAATGCTTCTAGAACATGGCCATATAGCCCAAAAAATCTACAACAACCCAGTGATTCCAGCCATGAAAGCCTTTGATAATCATTAAATTAAGTGTAGCAAGCCGCACACACTCTTTCAAATTGAAATTTGAATTGCCACACACACAAAAGTCAGCTTTTAAAAAAAATTGCTCCCAAATTCAAAGATGTGAAATATTTTTAGGAAACTTGATTGGAAGGGATTTTTCCCCCAGCTGTAATTATTTCCCTCCATATTATGCCTTGGGGCAAGAGACACTGTTTATGCAGATCTTCAGAACACGATCAGTTCCAGATCTAACCACATGGAGGCATATTTGGAAAAGAAATGCACCTGTACAAAAACAGAACGAGGAAAAGGCACCTGTGGAAGTGTAAATAAATTCTGCCGCAGATATAATATGTGTGCCTTTATAAATTGATGTAGACAATCAAAAATTGTAGAGGAGCGATCTTTCCTCCAATGCTTCATTGTTATTGTTATGCGTCTTCAAGCCATTTCTGACTTATGGTGACCCTAAGGCAATCCTGTCGTGGAGTTTTTGTGGCTAGCTGTGTATCAATGCTATTGCTTCAATGCTAGTAGTGCCCTGATAAGTGCTCTGCAATTTCCAGTTCCATGTTTTTAATGTGCTGTTTCCACCTTGATGTACACTGCAAATCCACATTGAATGCGTTTTCTGAATACCTGCCCTTCAGCCAACTTTGAACTGGGTTATGTGGTCTGTGTAGAACAGTGGTTCTCAACTATCAGTCCTCAGATGTTTTGACCTACAACTCCCAGAAATCCCAGCCAGTTTACCAGCTGTTAGGATTTCTGGGAATTAAAGGCCAAAACATCCAGGGACCCACAGTTTGGGAACCACTGGTGTAGATGGTCCTGAGAGACTACGGTTTGTCCAAGATCACCCAGTGGGTTTCCATAATAATTGGAACCCAAAACTCAAAACACTATAGCATGCTGGCTTTCCTAGTGCTTGTAGAAATTTAGAATCGTACAGCTGGAGGAAACCACAAGAGCAATCCATGCTTACAAGATTTTTATTTATTTATTTACAGTATTTATATTCCGCCTTTCTCACCCCGCAGGGGACTCAGGGCGGATTACACTGTATATATACATGGTAAACATTCAATGCCATAGACACACAAGGTATATAGACAGACATACAGAGGCGATTTAACATTCCAGCTTTTTTCATGAGGATGTTCTGGCCACCAGGGAGACTGTTGCTTCACCGTTCATTTGTGACACTGATGAAGTACTTCCACATCCTTTGTATGCTTGCTGGAGATTTTTATGGCATTGTAAACAAGCCTCCTTATACAAGCGGTACCTAAATGTCCTACTTGACAGATGCAACTGTCGTTTGGTCTGCAGAGGTCGACAGCAAGCTACACAAATTGGTTAGAAGTTCACTCTGACCCAAGCTGACTTCGAACCCATGACCTTTTGGTCAGTAGTGATCTTAATGCAGCTGACTCCCAGCCAGCTGCACCACAGAGGTCCAAGAAAATGCCTTTTTCCTGGGACACAACTTTTGAAACATCACCACATTGAGCTGCTTTGAGGCCCCTTCTACACTGCCATATAAAATCCAGATTATCTGCTTTGAACTGGATTATATGGCAGTGTAGACTCATGTAATCCAGTTTAAAGGGGATAATGTGGATTATACCGGGTCCTAGAGAAGTATACTTGGAAAGTACCAGACGCAGGGCTTTTTCTATTTCTGCCCCTGCCTTGTGGAATTCCTTGCCACTCTACATGAGAGCCATGCGTGACTTAGGACCTTTTACTCTAGCACTTAAGACCTGGCTTTTTATTAGAGCATTTGATCTCTGTTAATTTTTAATTTCTGTATGTATGGAGGGCGATTAATAAATAATTAAATATGATGATGATGATGATTATCTGATTTGATAATCTGGAGTATATGGCAGTGTAGAAGGGGCCCAAGACTCTTTTAAAAGAGGAAAAACTGGGATATAACTATATTAATAGCTTAAGAGAGAGAGAGAGAGAGAGAGAGAGAGAGAGAGATTACTAATAAATAATTTCCAGACACTGCTTGGTTACCCAATATATAATAGATCAGAAGTGAAGTGTGGCAGAAAGAGGTGTGGATTACATGAAGACATTGTTGGGGCATGTAAAAATCAGTTGTTGTGTTCACTGAAAATGCAAAGCACGAAGCTGATTGGTTGGGCCACATCCGAGGAGCAAGGTGAGCCTGGGAGTTTTGACTACAGTCACATATTTATACTTAGCTGTGCAAGAGCTTGCAGAGAGAGAGAGTTCTTGCTTCATGAGCTGCTAGAAGGAGATTTTCCACATGGACACCAAAAGACCATTTGAATCTCTCTAAAATGACATTGTGTGAGTCAATGTAACTGTTCACATGATTGCATTAAAATTGTACTTTACTGATGTTCTGTGTGGCATGTTTTCTTTGGCAAGATAGGGTGTGGGCTGATAAAACGTGAACTATGTGTGATTTTAATTATGCCACAGACATAAATTGATACTGTATCTGAATTCTATCCCATATCTCTAGTACTGATTAATATGAGCAATTACAAATAGAAAAAATGGCAGATTTGTTTTTAAAATCAAAATTATGGAACAACCTATTAAGTAAGTCTGAAGTGAAAAGAAATGCACCCATTTTCTTCTCTTCCCACCCCTTGCAAAGGTTCATCAATGCCCGGAGACGTATCCTGCAGCCGATGCTTGATGCAAGCAATCCAGACCCAACTCCCAAAGCCAAGAAGATCAAATCCCAACACCGACCAACACAGAGGTTCTGGCCCAACTCCATTGCAGCCGGAGTGCTGCAGCAACAAGGAGGCAACCCTGGCACAAACCCTGATGGTAAGAACCAGTCCCTTGAAAAGGCTCAAGATACACACACCAATTTTCCCTCTTTTTCCAAAATCAATGGGAGGAAGAGGAGGCACACCCCTTAGCTGCCACTGCAATTTGCTTCCACACATAGAAACATAGAGCTAAATGCAGCAAGGACTGCAAAAACAAAGGCTGCACGTGGGGGGATTCATCCTCAAATATTTCATCTTTGCAAAGTTAAATAATTATAGTAATTTTCTACCTTGTAGTGGAAAAAATGACCAATCCTCAGGATTCCCCCTCTATTCAAATATTCTGAAGTGTTGTGAAGGTGGTCTTGATGTCATGTAATGATCGTGGTACCCCCAAAACCACGTCTAGCACCCTTCCTCCAGCAAGTGGCAATGTGCTAAGGAGTTGTGGCAGGATCCTGCAGGAGTCCCTGCTTCTTCTTATTACAATGTGTCCCTGCAGAACGGTGTACAGGATGAAAGACAAATTGTGAAAAAACTGCCCTCCTCTCCTTTCTGTTTTGGAGGAGATTTGGGCAAGCTGGTTTTTCTGGGGAAATGTTTCCTGTTGGGTTTGGGAGGCTCCAGACAATCAATATTATTTACAGTAGCAACTTTTGGTTTATCATTGTCAGTGGTCTCTTAGAACAGTAGTTCTCAACCTGTGGGTCCCCAGATGTTTTGGCCTTCAACTTCCAGAAATCCTAACAGCTGGTAAACTGCCCTGAGTCCCCTGAGGGCTGAGAAGGGTGGTATACAAATATAGTAAATAAATAAATAATAAACTATCTGGGATTTCTGGGAGTTGTAGGCCAAAACACCTGGGAACCCACAGGTTGAAAACCACTGTCTTAGAAGATTCTAAGGCAGCATTTCTCAACCTGGGGGCCAGGACCCCTGCGGGGGTCATGAGGGGGTGTCAGAGGTGTCACCAAAAACTATCAGAAAGCACAGTATTTTCTGTTGGTCATGGGGGTTCTGTGTGCCAAGTTTGGCCCAATTCTATCGTTGATGGGGTTCAGAATGCTCTTTGATTGTAGGTGAACTATAAATCCCAGCAACTACAACTCCCAAACGTCAAGGTCTGTTTTCCCCAAATTCCACCAGTGTTCACATTTGGGTGTATTGAGTATTCATGCCAAGCTTGGTCCAGATCCATCATTGTTTGAGTCCACAGTGCTCTACAATGAACTACAACTCCAAAACTCAAGGTCAATGCTCACCAGACCCTTCCACTATTTTCTGTTGGTCATGGGAGTTCTGTGTGCCAAGACTGGTTCGATTCCATCATTGATGGAGTTCAGAATGCTCTTTGATTGTAGGTGAACAATGAATCCCAGGCATTACAACTCCCAAATGACAAAATCAATCCCATCCCCAATCCCACCAGTACTCAAATTTGGGCGTATTGAGTATTTGTGCCAAATTTGATCCAGTGAATGAAAATACATCCTGCATATCAGATATTTATTTATTTAATTAATTTAATTTATTGACAGTATTTATAATCCGCCCTTCTCACCCTGCAGGTGACTCAGGGCAGATTACAATGTACATATACATGGCAAACATTCAATGCCATAGACACACAACATATATAGACAGACAGAGAGGCAATTTAACATTCCACCTTTTTTTCCCATGAGGGCATTCTGGCCACCAGGGGAGCTGTTGCTTCACCGTCCATTTGTGACACTGATGAAGTACTTCTTCATTGTTTGCAGGCTTGCTGGAGATTTTTATGGCGTTATAAATTAGTTAAATTAACCTCCCCATGTAGGTGGTACCTAAATTTCCTATTTGACAGATGCAACTGTCTTTCACACTGCAAAGGTCAACAGCAAGCTACATAAATTGGTCGGACACTTACTCCGACCTGGGCTGGCTTCAACTCATGACCTTTTGGTCAGTAGTGATCCTAATGCAGCTGACTCCCAGCCAGCTGCGCCACAGTTATGATTCATAATAGTTGCAGATATGAAGTAGCAATGAAAATAATTTTATGGTTGGGGGTCACCACAACATGAGGAACTGTATTAAGGGGTTGCAGCAATAGGAAGGTTGAGAACCATTGTTCTAATTATTAACTTATTATTAACTTTATTTGTACCCCGCTAGCATCTCCCGAAGGACTCGATGCGGCTTACAAAGGCCAAGGCCTCAAACACAACATAACAATACAAACCTAAAGCAAATTAAAAACAATTAAAGCAATATTAAACAGCAAAACAACAAGCAATAAACAATACACCAAAACACAATAAAACTGGGCCGGGCCAGAGTAAAGGGTACAGAATTAAAAGTGCTGATGTGACAGGTGATATGTAAGGATTATAGGGTAAGTGCAGTGTGCAGAGTGCGGCAATCTTAGTTCTAATAAAGTGCTTATGGGACTTGTAATTGGAGATTTCCTATTCTGGGAAGGGACATCAGAACAGCCATGTCTTCAAGTTCTTTCTGAAGACTGCCAATGCAGGGGCCTGTCTAAGATCTTTGGGGAGGGTGTTCCAGAGTCAGGGGGCCACCACGGAAAAGGCTCTGTCTCGTGTCCCCACCAAACGCGCTTGCGACGCAGCCGGGATCACGAGCAGGGCCTCTCCAGATGAACGGAGAGAACGCGTGGGTTCGTAGACGGAGATGCAGTCACTCAGGTAGGGTGGTCCCAAACCGTTCAGGGCTGTACGGATTCCTTAGAACAATTCCATTGTTCTAAGGAATCCTGACATCCTTCAGATCACAGTTGGAAAACATCTGGCCTAAAGAATGGCTTGTACTAGCTCCAAACTTGAGTTAGACTTGGATGAGAGCTGCATTATTGGGATAGTTTTGTCCAAATTCCTCATGGATGTGTATTTGAGCCTCTGCCCAGATCAGTTCTCGCAACAGTCCTTTTTGTATTGCACTCATGCCGGTAAGTGGAGTTCTGAGTGAGCCATGACATCAGCTGTTTGCTTTCCTTCCTAGGCTCTATAAATATGGACAACCTCCAATCCCTCTCTTCCGATAATGCTACCATTGCTATGCAGCAGGCCATGATGGCAGCTCACGATGACTCACTTGACGGGACAGATGAGGAGGAGGATGAAATGGAGGAAGAAGAGGAGGAAGAGGAGGAGGAGGAGGAGGATCTGGAGGAGGATGCTGAGGAGCTCCAGACAACAAATGTTAGCGACCTTGGCTTGGAGCACAGTGACTCCCTGGAGTAGAGTCGATGGTGGAGCAGTTTGATTGGCTTGCCAAAACTATTGGCCTAAGGAATTGTAGAGAGAGCCTGAACTTGAACATACAAGCCCCACGTCCCTTTATATAGAATTAATTCAGCAACAATATCCTTACCGAGTGTCCTGCTTACTTGGTCTCAATTGCAGGAATGGACATAGCTGCACATTGAGGAGCCCTTGCCAAATGTGCAAACCAGTTATTTAAGTGAAGGACACATGTTTACAAGGCACATATTGTGGCCAGTTCTCCCCCCTCCAAACCCCTTTGTTTTTGATAATAATAACAACAACCGAATTGTTTTTAGGGTAAGCTGTTTTCTGTATGACTGAATGTTTTATGGATGTTCTGATGCAATGCCTTTTTGTGACATGCAGTCGAGAGGCAAAGTCTGTTTTCATTTTCACTGCTTTTATGAGAGATTTATAGATGCAAAAAAAAAGAGAGAAGAGATCGATGGTTTTTACAACAAAAACGTAAAAAAAAAAAGACTGCAATGATTATAAATATTTACATGTAGAAAAAAAATAAGAGTTTGCAAATTTTGGAGACAAAAAAAATAGCAATGAACAGTGAGAAAGTTTAATGCTGGACCCAAATTGACTCATAGCTGTTTCTGCAGAACTGAGTTCCAAGTCTTTGCGATTTTTTTTTGGTTCCTGATCCCAAGAAATACAGAAAAGCTACAATTCTTCATAGTTAATGTGACAAATAAATTCTGCACTGCAACATGAACCATTCTTAGAGAGGAAACTGGGAAGTTTAACCTTCTGAATGGGGTGTTTGTTTTGTTTTGTTTTTCATATTGAGAAACTGCAAGTTGCTTCTAGTGTGAGAGAATTGGCCGTCTGCAAGGACGTTGCCCAGGGGACGCTCGGATGTTTTGATGATTTACCACCCTAGCGGGAGGCTTCTCTTATGTCTCTGCATGGGAAGCTGGAACTGACAGAGGGAGCTCATCCGTGCTCTCCCTGGATTCGAACCTCCAATCTGTCGGTCTTCAGTCTTGCCGGCACAAGTGTTTAACCCATTGCGTCACTCCCCCAGTGCGGTGTCTTAACAGTAGCATGCTTGCTTCAAGAGGTAGCTTCAGCTAATCCAGTAAGAATACCCCTGAATAATTATGTTAATTGTTTAGAGGATTATACACTAAGAAGAAATGATTAATGGCTTTCCGCATTGGTTGAATATGAACTGGCTCAGGTTTCCAAATGTTTGCACAAGCAAAGTTTAAAAAATTCTTACTGCGAGTTCACAGATTTCCAAGGAAAGGGGGAAAAGGTATTCTGAAGCTCAGAGGAATTGCTGTCCAGATGGTGAGATCAATGCCCTCTCCACAATCTGATTTTCTCAGAACTCCTCACCTGCCACCTGTCACCTCTAAATGAAAAGGCTTCCAAAGAACCAAATTCTTTGTTGTGTTTTATACATTCAGAATAGAGAACAGAAAATCTTCAGCAGTCCCCCTTTCACCTCCAAACACCTTTTATTCCCCTGGCCAAGGGCATAGCGGCAGTCAACAATGGAGGTCGCTTTTATGTCCTTCCTTGCCGGATCTTGAGCCAATTGCACCCAACAGCTCATTACTCAGCTTGTGTGATATTTGCCATCCTGCTTATGTTTCTTTAAAAACCCAAGTTTAGCCTCGTGCGGGGGAGGCATCCACCAATCCATGCAGTGAACTGCTGTGCATGAAGAGCTTACCTTGTGATGACACTTTAATGCGGCTTCCATGTGTCAGGTGTAATGTCAACACTAGCCTTAAGAATGCATTTTTGTTTCTTAAGGTAGTTCTTCAGATTCACATATTGACCCCTTTTAATTGTTTGAAATGCTAGAATGGTAGCTATTGGCCAGGGTCCGTTAAGCACACTGATTTTGTGGGCCCCACCAACATATTTAGGCCATTTTCCTAGGGGGAGGGTGTTATAATTGGGAATAATAGCTGTGGCTCCATCCCCCTTGCAAGTGGCAAGTTTTTGATGTGGACCCAGGCATGTTCTGGCTGCTCGTGTAACACCAAGGAAAGGAAGAGCTGTCTGCTCCCTCCATAAATCTCTCCCTTCCTTGGGAAAAGGAAGCACTTGCAAGCCCCCTCTCCCCAAACTAGGAACAAATGGCATTCTGAAAAGCCTAATGGCAATATCTTTTGCTACAATGTCACATTATGAAAGGCGGTACAGCATTGGTTCTCAACCTGGGGGTCGGGACCCCTGGGGGGGTCACGAGGGGGTTTCAGAGGGGTCACCAAAGACTATCCAAAAACGTATTTTCTGTTGGTCATAGGGGTTCCATGTGGGAAGTTTGACCCAGTTCTATCATTGGTAGGGATCAGAATGATCTTTTATTATAGGTGAACTATAAATCCCAGCAACTAAAACTCTCAAATGCAAGGTCTATTTTCCCCAAACTCCACCAGTGTTCATTCACATTGGGCATGTTGAGTATTTATGGCAAGTTTGGTCCAGATCCATCATTGTGTGAGTCCATAATGCTCTCTGGATCTAGATGAACTACATCTCCAAAACTCAAGGTCAATGCCCACCAAACCCTTCCAGTATTTTCTGTTGGTCACGGGAGTTCTGTGTGGCAAGATTGGTTCAATTCCATTGTTTGAGTTCATAATGCTCTGATTGTAGGTAAACTATAAATCCCAGCAACTACAATTCCCAAATGACAACATCAATCCCCTGCCAACCCCACCAGTATTCAAATTGGGGCATATCATGTATTTGTGCCAAATTTGGTCCAGTGAATGAAAATACATCCTGCATATCAGATATTTATATTATGATTAATAATAGTTGCAAAATTGTAGTTGTGAAGTAGCAACAAAAAAAAATATTATGGTTGGGGATCACCACAACATGAGGAACTGTATTAAGGGGTCGCACCATTAGTAAGGTTGAGAACCACTGCGGTACAGAATACCTCCTTCTGCAACATTCTGATCTGTGTCCAGAATCTGTACATTCAGTCTGCTGGAGTGTCTCTCATATTAGCATTAGCATTGCATTCCAGACAGGAAACAATCAGGGTCTGCTAACACCTCCCAACAATGGATTCCCCCAGGCAGCAGGCAGTCAGGCTTTGAAGCTGCAAGACCATTCAATGCTTGCATTGCAGAGGTTGGTTACAAAGGCTGTAGCTTGTTGTTCATTCGTTCAGTCGTCTCCGGCTCTTCGTGACCTCATGGACCAGCCCACGCCAGAGCTCCCTGTCAGCCGTCACCACCCCCAGCTCCTTCAAGGTCAGTCCAGTCATTTCAAGGACTGACCTTGAAGGAGCTGGGGGTGGTGACGGCCGAAGGCTGTAGCTACACTGCCAAATAATGCAGTGTGGGTATCGCATTAGCCTGGTGTGTCCACACAAGGCATTCAGCATAATGGGATTTAACCCAGAGTAAACCACTTAATAATGGGACCAGGGTGGTGCAGCGGGTTACACCGCCAAACTGCACAACTAACTGAATGGAAGGTCGGCAATTCAAATGCGTGGGATGGGGTGAGCTCCCATTGTTAGCCCCAGCTTCTGCCTACCTAGCAATACGAAAGCATGCAAATGTGAGTAGATCAACAGTAGATCAACTCACACATTTTGTATTTTCTCTGTTTGTTTGCTTTGTTCTGTTAGAAATGTAATATAATTGACTGGCTGCCCTGACACAAGAAATAAATGCCTAACTTAACTCAGGTCTAGTAGACTCAGGGTCATGGTTTCACTCTGTCTGGAGTGTTGTCTTTCTCTTAACAGAGAAGAGTTCTTTCTCCTACTCTGGACATTCAACAGCTATATAAACCGCAGTTGCCTAGTTTCCAACAGACCTCACAACCTCTAAGGATGCCTCTCATAGATGTGGACAGGAGAGAATGTTTCTGGAACATGGCCATACAGCCCGGAAAACTCACAGCAACCCAATAATAAATTAAAAAATAATAAAACTAAATCAAAACTAATAATGAAGAAACAAACAAATAAATAATTGAAACAAGGACAGTATGGCCATGTTCCAGTACCAGTCTCTCCTATGTTTCACCTGCATATATGACAGACATCCTCAGAGGTTGTGAAGGACCACACAACCTCTGAGGATGCCTGCCATAAATGCAGGTGAAACATCATGAGAGAATGCTTCTGGTACATGGCCATACACCATGGAAAACTCACAACAACTCTCTCCTGACGTTACACCCATATTGATGGCAGGCATATTAATCAGTGGGTTGTTGTGAGTTTTCCTACCGGCTGTTAGGAATTGTGGGAGTTGAAGTCCAAAACACCTGGAGGGACCAAAGTTTGCCCATGCCTGCTTTAAACTCTGCTATGAAAGTACAATGCAGCATTAGAGAGTATTAGAAAGAGCCAAGACCTGGATGAAAAAAGGTAGACCACCGCACTTCATAAACACCCCTGTCATTGAATCAACTGGATTTACCTATATATTGAATCACCTTTTACTAGGTGCACTTTAATTGTGCCTATCCAACAGTATTCCAGCATGAATGAGCAGTAAAATAGTACTTTATGCAAGAGCCCAAACTGGATACATGCACATGTAGCTGCAATATGCAAGATTCCAGTCTATGTTACACAGAAAGAAGCCCTGGAACAACTTAGTAAAGGTAAAGGGTTCCCCTTGACATTAAGTCTAGTCGTGTCCAACTCTGGGGGATGGTGCTCATCTCCATTTCTAAGCTGAAGAGCCGGCGTTGTCCATAGACGCCTCCAAAGTCATGTGGCCAGCATGACTGCATGGAGCGCTATTACCTTCCTGCAAAAGTGGGACCTATTGATCTGCTCACATTTGAATGTTTTTGAACTGCTAGGTTGGCAGAAGCTGGGGCTAGCATGACTGCATGGAGCACCATTACCTTCCCGCCAAAGTGGTAACTATTGATCTACCCGCCTCAGGAGCGTTTGGTGGGGACGAGAGAAAGGGCATTCTCAGTAGTGGCCCCTCGTCTCTGGAAACACTCTTCCCAGGGAGATTAGGCTAGCACCCTCCCTATCCACATTCCGTAAGGAACTAAAGACGTGGATTGTTGTTGGTACCTATTGATGTCACATTAGCATGTTTTCAAACTGCTAGGTTGGCAGAAGCTAGGACTAACAGCGGGAGCTCACCTCGCTCCCCAGATTCGAATTGCTGACCTTTTGGTCAGCAAGCTCAGCAGTTTAACCTGCTTCATCACTGGAGGCTCCAGGATAAACACCCCCTGGTTAATGTATGCAATTAATTATTGTAGTTTAATCAC